GCCAACAGTGAAGCATCCTGAGACCATCCATGTGTGGGTTTGCTTTTCAACCAAGCGAGTGGGCTCTCTCATAATTCTGCCCAAAAACACTGCCATGAATAAAGAATGGTATCAAAATGTCCTGCAAGAGCGACTATTTCCAACGATCCATGAGCAATTTGGTGATGATCTGTGCATTTTCCAGCATGACGGAGCCCCATGTCACAAAGCAAGAGAGATAAAGAAGTGGCTCGAAGGTCATTATATTTAAATTTTTGATCCGTGGCAAGGCAACTCCCCGGATCTCAATCCCATAGAGAACCGCCAATAAAAGCCTTCAAAACTTATGATATGCTTGTCATTGTTTTTCAGTATACCATAGAAACGTGGAAAAATAATCTACAAATACTGAAGCAGCAAACTTTGCAAAACACAAAATGTATGTCACTGCCAAAACTTTTGGCCATGACTGTATATGGGTTCTTCCCACCCCTTTGGCCAAAAAATTTACCAGAAGTGACCGTGTTAAAGGAAAAGTAATAGTTTGATTGAACACTTAGGATTATTTAATTAGGAATAAATCAAGAACAAAATGTTGGGAAATTGATCCCGGCTGTTGTTGTAATTGTTCTTGATCTTTTGAGTGCCATTTACATTGAATAAGACTGTTGCCTTTATACAGTGAGATATGACTACATTGAAATATTCTGCATATTCTAATACTGTAACATCTTTGTGTATGTTTTGTTATATAGATATTTAATGTATCATATCAATCATACCAATTTAGGGACACTATCGTGCAGCAGATGGCTAATGGTAAACAAACTTGGCTTGCTGCCACCCCCCCCACCCCCGGAAGAATTGTCGCTGGGACGCCGCAGTAACTGCTGCTTATATAGGCTCGTAATGATGATTAGGCTCCTCCCGAACCTACGTTTGGAACTTCATTTTATTTCAGTTAGCCCAATAGTTCCAATACACTTTAACATTTGCAGCATGAGTGAAGCTAATGCATCTACCCAAAGTGTTGCTTGCACAGGGTAGAATGTTTAATGCTTCTGGTAAATACAGTTAATGAGTTCGAGCCTGCAAGGTGATTTGAAAGATTTCCCAGTTTTTCCAGCACCTAATTTTTTTTTTCTTTCTGCTGAAAGAACTATGTCAGTATATTCATTCATTGTGCAAGGTAACGTTTGTTATAGGGTGTTTTTATATTTTCGGTGCTAATGCAGGACCCAGTTATGTTGATTTCCTTGAATATAGATTGTGCAATATATGATTGTATTAAGATATGGTCTGATACGTAATTTAGTAGTTAATATTTTAATAGCATTGCTTTTCATTTAAATATTTTTGCCAGTTCTTGTGTTTGTGATTAGTCTGCAAGCACTATTAAAATATGAGCCAGAGGTTTACTGTCAAGGAAAACAGCTGGATTATTTAAGTGTAAAATGCACTCCATTTTTGTTTTGGTGAGTTGCTGGGTTTGTGTGTGTGAATTGCGGTGAATCAGAGGTAAAAGAACGATATAAATACTGTTCAGTTTCTTGCACATCAATGTATTGTCACTAGCCGCAGGGTTTAATTTGGTTTTGTTTGTGTATGGTTTTTTTGACTCTCAAAGCCGTGATTCCCATTCACTTCCATTATAAGACTGACAGACTGCAAAGGTTTGAGTTAAAAATCTTCGTTTGTGTTCTACTGAAGAAACAAAGTCACCTACATCTTGGATGCCCTGGGGGTAAGCAGATAAACATCAAATTTTCATTTTTGGGTGAACTATCCCTTTAACATCAGTGCATTATAGCATTGCTATCTGATTACAAGCTATACAATTTTGATGTGTAGTGCTGTGATTTTATATGGGAACCTATAACATCATATAACTGGTCACAGCAGTCCAACTTCAGAAAGTCAAAACTGGTTTCAGTTATAGTTTTGCAGCTGCTTAGAGTGTCCCATATTTATTTTAATTTGTGTCAAATGTGGATTGCTTGAACTCCGAGGAGGTGTATATGATTAGTGGTTACTGTAGCCATGACTTTATTTTCTGTGCTGTCTGGTTTTTAATCTGACAACACTGACACAGCACAAGTGAAATGTTTAAAGGTGAAAAAATAGGTGGAATCTTATGTTTAAAGCGCCACGTTACATTTAATTTGACAGTCTTTATGCACGAGACTGTCTCTGACAATATATTCCTCTTCCAGATGGAAGCATAAATATAAGGTCAGGAATCCCATGCTTGGGTTTTATAATCAATTCAGTCAAGCACAAACATGAGAGAATGTTTTCGAAACATGTTTATCAGAAGTCTTGTTCCTCTGAAAAATATCACTAAAGTCAATCTCAGCAGCTTGTGAAATTAGTGTTCCTGTTGCTGTCTGTGCTTGCTAGCTTGGATATTCTTTCAATGCATTTTTGTAATGGTATGTGTAATCTAGTATGGAGAGGGTTCCTCCCTTCCTCCCTCAAGCACTAAATCACCTAAATGTCCCAGATCTGACATCTGTAACTCTGAATGAGATCATCAAACTGCTCTGGCCTTAATTACCCGTTGTATAATTATATACACCTATATGAGCAGAATATCATGTGATGAACGAGTAAGGATAAAGACGCAGTGTGAACCCAAATTATGGCATTAAAACCTTTACATTCATGAAATTACCTTTAGCACAGAAATGCTTCAAAAGAAGCAATTAAAACTATATACCAAGCAAGTAAAAATTACATATTGCCAAATAACATTTAAAGCACTCAATATAATATAGTTACTCCAAGCTTGAGTATGTTTGTCCTGTTTGATCAAAACTTAATTATTCCCAGAATGCACACCTTTTTACACAACTTAAACTGACACACAAATATATCTGAGATGAACCATTATTAATCAGTTGTTTCAAGATTTTTTAAGATAAGAGTTAATTAAATGTTTAAATTCACATTGTCACCAAATGAATACTATTAAAAGAGACTATAGAATGAAAATTCTGTCATTTACTCACCCTCATGTCTTTCCACACATGTATTATTTTATTCTGTGGAATTCTAAAAGATATATGGAGAGATTTCCCCGTCTTTTTGTCCATACAATGGAAGTTTAAAACTGGATACCACCATTCCGAAAATTATCTTTTTTGTGTGCGTGTTCCACAGGAGGACAAAAAGACACACAGGTGATGGAGTGACAGGAGGGTGAGTAAATGACTGAGTTGTTATTTTTGGCTGAAATATCCCTTTAAGCATAGTTCACTGTACTTGTAAACAAATAAGCAAGTTGTTGATGGCTCAACCAATGTCCTCTAATTAACCATTGATTAGTTTGCAGTTTAGCACAGTGATGAAAGCTTTTAGCCTGTTCACATGTGCACACACTGCAGCTCTTTCCATAACTCTCCAATGCCATTTGAGAGTGCTCCCTCTGCCAGTCTCTGGCACTCATCCGGGGTAAAACCCACCAGGGCCGTACCCTTGATGGCCACACCATGGTGTCTAGCCAGTACTGCTACTTGTGCTGTGATTAGTGAGGCTGGAGCATGGCAGAAGTTGTGCCATCCAATGGTGAAGCTTGAACATTGCTCCTCACCATAAGATGAAGACGATGGAGGACCACCCTGAACACTCTCTACATTACAAGCAATCTCCACAGCACCTTCATGTGGTAGAGCCATGACCTGAACTCCAGGGATACCACCAGGAGTGGATTCACAGATCGCTGAAGCCACAATCCGGCCCAGGGCCAGATCCTGGGTATCGATGGTCATGTTACAGTTCATGATGTAGGGGCTGGCTCCAACAACTGCAGATCAAATATCTGTTATTGGTTTTATTTATTGGGGTTCAAATAGTGATTTAAATAATTGAAACATTCTCTTAAAAGGATAGCTCATTCAAAAATGTAATCATTTACCACCCTCACGTTGTGCCAAACCCACAAAACTTTGGTTAATCTTCGAAACACAAATTAAAGGGATAGTTCACCCAAAAATGAAAATTTGATGTTTATCTGCTTACCCCCAGGGCATCCAAGATGTAGGTGACTTTGTTTCTTCAGTAGAACACAAACAAAGATTTTTAACTCAAACCGTTGCAGTCTGTCAGTCTTATAATGTAAGTGAATGGGAATCACGGCTTTGAGAGTCAAAAAAAGAAACACACAAACAAAACCAAATTAACCCTGCGGCTAGTGACAATACATTGATGTGTAAAGACACGAAACGATTGGTCTGTGCAAGAAACTGAACAGTATTTATATCGGTTTTTTTACCTCTGATGCACTGCAATGTCTGAACTGTCCTGTGCGCGTCCTTGACAGCCGGCGTGTGACGCGTCGTCTTCTTCTTGCTTTACGGCGGATCGCAGACTTATAAGTGCATTACCGCCACCTATCTCTCAAATGGACCATTGACACTCTATCTACAATCTCAATTAGGAGTGTCAATGGTCCACTTGAGAGCCACTGTCTCCACCAGGTCTCTTCTCTGAGCTTCCGAGATTTTCAGGAGACATGCAACCAGCCGTCGACCAAGAGCAGAGCAGGACATCCCTCAAGAAAGCAGAAACACTTTACAGCTTTACAGGCCCACAGACCCCAAACCAGATTCTGTCAACCCAGGAATGCCTAGCCAGAAAAAAATTTAAAAGCTAGGCCTACATTTTCTTGGTAACACTTTATTACCTTACTTAAAGTCCCCATGAAATCAAAATTAAAGTTTTTTGGGGTGTTAGTATCAATATGTTAGTCTTAAAGTTATCTATAAGGCAGTGTGCTCCAAAACAGTGACAAAATTTGCATTTAGAAGATATAAGCATTCAAAGCTTGCAGTTCGTCACTTCCGCCAAAACGGCTCAACGATTATTTTTTTTTGTACGTCACATTGTACTTCAGCGTCTCATCAAACTTTCTGTCCAATCAAATGCTCTTTAGAATCCGAAGCGCCCGCCCCCTGCACTATACAATAGACGCTGAAGCCGCGGCTGAAATCGTTCACTTGTCCACAGAATTAGTATTTTCTGTACAGTGAATGACTATATAGGGGACAGGGAACGATTCAAACAGTGTACATATGCTTTCCATTGAGGAAAAGAAGTCTGGTTTCGCGCTGTGTCACGCTAACCACCGCACCGCACACACACTCTGCTCCGGTCCAGAGACACGATAGCACGGAGCGGATCACATGCGCGAGTCGGCGCAGACCACAAAATGTATCGGAGCTATTTGAATTCTACACAGAATGCTATATTTTATAGCAATATGGATGAGATTGTGGCTGGCATACCCTGTCAAATGCGGCTTTACGGAGCTCAACGGTTCTGAACGGCTCTAGCCAGTGTTGCCAGATGGGAAATGTCCAAGTATCGTACCAGAAGCTCAAAATTATGGTATTTGGAAGAAAATTATCGTACACGAGTAAAAACTTACAGAATACAGCTATTTATCTACTAGACTAGAACAACAACTTTTTGACACTACCTTCAAATCACCACAGTAAATAAATAACTAGGGCCCTATGAAATACGTTTTATTTTTTCCCAAATTCCTTTTTTTTTTTAATTCCAAATTCAAATTTTTTTGGATTCTGTTTTTTTTTTCCATTTTAATTTTTCTGGACTCCTTTTTAAATGGTTAAATTAAATTGTATTAATCAAAAGCACGTCTAATTAAATAATGAAACGTATACAATTCAACATCAAATCTATTAAAAAGTTTAACAAAAATTACATGTTTAGGGTCTTAT